ATTTCTCTTTCCTCACAACTTGGATACAACTTGTGAAACTTTTGACAAACTTTTTGTAGTTATTTCCCATATTCCCAGTTTTTAGCCCGCACTGACATTATCTCACCCCCTTGAGCATGTGAGGTTAAATTAACCACAAGATAGTATTAGAATAACTCCTGACTCCAAAGTAAACACAGTCAAACTGATTCACATCCCAAGTAATTTTTTTTCAAAACATACTAAGGTTAAGGTCAAAGGGATAGAATTTCTTGAAACATGTGAAGATTTGATCAGGAATTGTTCACATGACTGTCATCGCGGTGAAAGTAAATCCCGTATTTCTGGGTTCACTGGTGCAGCGGAGCCAATGTAGCCGGATCTGTCTGGCTGCCATGAAACGTCAAGTAAATAGATATGCCAGCGCTGACCTGTTTGGGCATGAGGGCATGAGTTAGTCCAGCCTCCAGTGTAACCAGAAGACTTGGAGAAGAGACAACCTGTTTTAAAAACCGAGGCTAGAACAAATGTGGCAAGCAGACATTAATGAGCTGGTTAGGAATCACACCAAGGTGTCTGCAGTGAACAGGAGGACTTGCCTGCTTGAAGGGCCAGAGACGACCTTTTTTCCTCTGTTTTTTCATCATTCTACAATAGCAGCGTACTCTTATCTGTTTGTGTCATATTATATGTGATTCAAAAGTCGTCCACTCTAAATGGATCCTGGCTGTATACTTTGGGGGTAGCTCTTTTATTTTTCTTTCTCAATATGCCTCAGTGTGTTCGACAGGAAGATAAGGAGTAAAAAAGTCCTGCAGCCACATTTAAGGTGGAACACCTTCAGTTAGTCAGACACAGCACAAGTGGATTTGGGTTGCAAAGTAGCTTGCAGATGTGTGGCAGCTGTGGGCAGGCTAAAGCAGATTTAATAAGATGCCCTACAAGGAATTTTGCATGTGGTGGGAAATGACTGGCACTGAGATCAGCTGACCTGCTGGGATTACAGCAAAGGTTGACTTGATAATGATGATGCTTAATGTATTTACTATGAGTAGAAAGTAATGTTTAATGTCCTGAGCAACATATGCTGGAATCAGCTGCAATGTATTTTCCCCTTGACTACACAGTGTAAACCACGTGCACGTGCTGCTCATCATGTATCACGTTCTTCTTCTCTTGTAACAATTTTACAGTTACGGTAATCAGAGTTAGCCCATGCTGCTGTTTTTATATGGCAGCCTACAGTAGAGGTTTTAGATACGGGCGACACGGGCAGTTGCCCGGGGCGGCATCGTGGTGGGGGGCGGCATCA